AGTCAGAAGACTTGAAAAACAAATCTGAAAATTTGAGATCCTGTAGATTAGATTGTGAGATTTCCAGGAAAATTATCAAAAAAGTGAAAAAAATAATTAGACCATGAAATAAATGCCACGTCGTTTCGTCGCATTTTCTAATTTTGCCACTCAACCACGTGTGGGCCAACGAGAAAAGTACCCCGATTTCCGTGATTTTTTGTGCTCAGAAGGATGACTCAACAACTCTGCAGATTGCAGGGCCTGTGGATTTGGTCGTTGTCTTGCCACGAAAAATCTTTATTTAAAAAAAAAAACATACCATGAAATAAATGCCGCGCCAATTAGTCCCATCTTCCATTTTTGCTGCCCTATCACGTGTCGGCCAACAAGAAATACCCCAACTTCAGCGGTTTTTTACGTCCAATACAATGCTTTAGGTCTTTCTAGGGGAAAAAATAAATAAATAAATAAATAAAATAAACCTCGAAAGAAATCATAGGGGCAATTTGACGTTTTTTTTTTTGTTTTTTTTTTTTTTTTTTCTCAGAACCTCGCGGTTCTGGGGAGCAACAGCCCGGTTCCTATTCCACCGACAAGTCAATATGAAGTACATTAGGAACTCACACACGCTCCTCCCCATTATGGCTGGGAGGTCCGAGAGGGCGGCATTGATTGCTTCCTTGTGGAAGGATGTACCCCCCCTCACCCCTGCCTAAGTTAACCTGCACTGCTAGATCTGCTGGCCGCAGTCCTGCTCCTCTCAGCTTTTATAGCTGTCAGATCATTGTACTATGTTAGAGCGGACTGGGGCGTGTGAACCAGTTCTTCCTTGCCTGTGCTACACTGTCCCTCCCGCAAACCACTATGGCCTAATTCACTGCTGAGATTTGGAGGATGCCCGGACCAGATGCCCCCCCCACCAGCTTTCTATGAGGGATGTCTCTTTTTTGCACCTTTTAGCCTTTGTTTTTGCCACTCTGCCAGTTCCCCCCACTGTGCTACCGGTACCCCTCATGGACCTGTGCTACCGGTCCCCCCTAATTTAGGACGGCAGGGTTAGTGGTGGTTTCAGAGCACCCTCATAGAGGACGGCAGGGGTAGTGGTGGTTTCAGAGCACCCTCATAGAGTACATGTAGATACCGTTTTTCCGCATCACAAGCTGCATTCAATAAAGCCTGCCACTACGCTGAGGTTAACTGCGGCTGGGCCATTTTTGGACCGTTACTGTCAACAGATGGGTTGTAGAGACGCCAACCAACAAAGGAATCAGACTCTCAAGAGGTACACTCCCCTTTTCGCTTGCACGAACACTCTGTTTCCCAGTCCTTGTCCACTCCAAAAGGTCACTTTCCCGCTCTTCCTTTTCTCTCTATTCCATTTGGTAACTAGTCTCCTCGGGCATTGAAAATGAACTCCAAGAAAAAAAAAAAACCAAAAAGCTCAAGGAAGAGAGGGTACAACTCCTAGCCGGAGCTGCATTACATTTGGACTAGAGAGCAGCAAAAAAATATATATATATTCACATGAGGTCTGAGCCAGCGACTCAGCCTGATCAGACTGAATACGAGATCCCCTCGAGTCCAGTCTGATCAGTTCCATGACCATACAACAAATCAGACAACAAGTGACGATATGCAACAATGGAGAATTGAGTGGTGTACAAGGTGCGAGCCAAGCCATGAACGGTCCAATCAAAGCATGTGAAACGTCTCAGCGGAGATCCCCTAGACAGCGGGTGTCCTAACCAAAAGAATAAAACTCTGGATCCCAATTAGAAAGAAAACGAACCAATGTCTAACAGATTTGGGTCCAAGGGGCCCTTCTTGCTTGGGTCCGATCCCACTGGGTCCCTAAGGGTCCCGCGTACGCCGTGACCGGGTCCCAACAAAGAGGAGTCCCCCACGGACTCTGCCTCTACTATACTGAAAAGAACAGATTTCAACCGGGGTCCCAACAAAGAGGAGTCCCACACAGACTCTGCCTCTACTATACCGAAAAGAACAGATTTCAACTTCCAGAAGAACCTACAGTCTACAGCCGTTCAGAGATGAAAAGACGAAGCATTATAGAAGGACTCAACATTCAAATCAAGATACTTCATTCCTCCATACATCAGGTGAGTATACTTCATTCCTCCATCCATCAGGTGAGTAAGTAGTTCACACAATCAATACCACAGAGTAGGAAAGAAACCCAGAATAACCCCAACAGGACAATCAATACCATGCATGCACATACATGGGAATCCCGTAGGTGCACGACACTTACCTGAGTGGCCTGAGCTTTGAGATGAATAGAACTCACCCCCCTCTCACATGATCCTCCTCACCCCTGTAACGCTACCTCTACACAAGTGTCCTATCTCCTAGGAGGGTCTGACTCCAACACCCAAGTGCAACGGCAGATCCCCCACCGATGCTGAAGAACAAAGTAAGAACAAAGTAGCAACCAACAGTCTTTAGATGCAAAATGGTTGTTGTCCCTCAAGCTTGCCTACTTGAGGGAAGCCCTAAAGTCGCCAAGTGTCTCCCTTGAATCAGATTCCAGGTGCAAGTGCCTCTCACTGTTGCTTCTCTCAAATTGTAGCATGACGTTTCCACGAAATGTCTCGCCACCCCAAACTTGCTCTCAAACAACCTGGTTAGGTCCAGCGTCTACCCAACACGACCTAACCTGGTGGGGCAGCTTCCCTTAGCCACGCTGCCCCACTTCCCTCACAACCAACCCTAACCCTAAGTGATGCCCTCTACCACTTAAGTTAGGGTTAGTGCAGCAAAGTCGACTCTCGCCAGAAAGTAGAATCCGCTTTGATACCAATGTTATGATCCTGGCCAATTTTGAAGTAAACATTCATCAAAAAGTACAAAGTCGACTAGCGTCCTGTTTCCAATAATGGCAATAGTTTACCTCTTGGAGGAAGCCGGCGTGGTCTACATCTATCTTTACTGAACTTCTCATATGTCATGCCCTCTTCCTTGGTATGGGCATACAGTTGGGATCGACAGGGTTCAGGAAGTGCTCGTGCAAAGTTGACCATGGTCAGGTCAGTGCAAGAGTTTGTCCATAGTAGCCTTTAGTGCGGACACACTCTTCCATTTCCAATTGGCTATGTTGAGGATCAAATGTTTTGTCCGTCGGGCTAAGTTTTCATCCTCAAATCGATTCTTTAAGGCCAAGAAGAAATCTACATGTGGATTCGTTGGGAGTATTCTACCATTGATGTGCAGCCTACTTCCTTCATTAGGGAGAGAGCAAATCGGCAGCCTCCAACCTTGCTGCAAACTCCTCCCCGGAGCTCAATTTTTCCCACATTTTTCAGCAGGGCGGTCAACTCTTGGGCAGCATGCAGCAGAGCATCAGTTACGAGGGTCAGGTTTTCCTTAACTTCCACTTCCTTGGCTCGTTCTTCCTCAATTGCTGTTGGACTTTCTTCCCTTCCTCCTTTATCCTCCTCTTCTCATCAAACTCCTTCCTCTTCTGGGTTAGAAGTCGCTGGTGGACACGTTCTTTCTGCAATCAGCGGGTCCCTTTCTTCACCATCACCCGCAGCCTCCAATCTCGCTGCAAACTCCTCCCCCCTTCCTCTGACTCGGCTGACATTTCACTATGGAATCCAAATTTCGCCACCCAGTCCTCATCGTCTGGTTGAATGATCCTCAATTGCCCAGCTTGGCTACTCTCCAAGATTTCCTCTTCTTTTCCTTCTTCGTTCCTGCTTCTGTTTTTCCAAGATTCTTAATTTCTCCTCTAATTCCCTTCTTTCCTTCTCCAGTCTCTCTTTATCCTCCTCTTTCTTCTTCTGTTTCTCCTCCTCCTCCGCCAGCCTCCTATCGATCTCAGCCTGCTGTTCAGTTGTGTATGGCTGGGTGGACGCTCTGGATCGGCTCATGACATGCACACCAAAAGGCTGGGCAAGCCCCAGTGGAAAGAGGAAACGGAGTATGGGCCCCCATATCACGGACAGGGACAGGAGGCCGAACATCGGGTAGTCATCCATGGTGAGGGTCAACACAGATAAGTTGACTCCGCCTCCCCACCACGTAGACCTACTCCTCAACACTTAACTAATCCTAACCTAAATCAGGGTCTGACTCGTCTACTTCCCTACCCAGTTCTGTCATTACAACTCTCCTAACAGCCGGTGGGCAACCAGCAGTTTAAGGTCATCCCTGCAGTGACCTGTACAGGCCTCAAGAATTATTTAACGATGCAAACAGGATGCTAAGGTAATTTCATTGCCTAACTTTCTAGGTGACTAGAAATAGGAAACTCCACTGTATGCGGGAAACTCCTCGAATAGATTCGTGCCCACTAAGCCTGAAGGACCCTTCTCCCCTCACTGATTGCAACAATTTTCGAGTGTAACTACCACCAGAATGGTAAGCCGGTCGGTACCGGTCCTTGGGGGATATCCCTGGCGTCCTCAACTGGTGGACCTTACATCTCACCCTGCTCTTTCCGTGCATTAAGCTGGCCAACCCTACTGCCCTCTACAACTCCTCACCACGTCCCTTCGAGTCTTCGGTTGCACGCAGGTCAGTACCAGTCATTGACCATATCCTAGTTGTTTTACTAGCGCCCGCCGCTCATTGCCCTTCCTCCCTACTAGGTCTCTGGATACCTCCAGCTGGCAAGATGCAACCCTAGACCTCGACGATGCATTCAAAGACGAAGCAGACTCGACACTCAGAATTCAGATGCGACCAGATGCCGTCAACAGAAACCCTAATTTTCAGCACAGGTCACCAGGGAAGTACTTGGGAACGTAATATTCACAACAGATAAATTGCAGAAAGACAAGGGTCGGGCAAGAAGCACTTCACATTGTCTTCAACACTTCGTCGGTGATGCTCCACGATCGCAGGTATGCTTCCTCAACTTTTGCCCCTTCTCCTTCGGCCCTCAATATATAGATTTCTTATTTGATTTTTTATCACCTGCTAACCTTCTTCTTGCAAGCGCCTGCAGGCGAACTTCTTGGCAGCGCCTCATCTCGGTTTGGCTTCTCACGTGTGAACTCTCATGTGAATGTTCATTGATGTATACTTCGATCATTTCAGTGCTGGCCTCCTTGCCAGCGCCTGAAATCCGAGTAGGTGCAGCGGGAACCAGCTCCAATACCACTGAAATGATAAGTACTCGTCAAGTTCCGACTCGCATACATCAATGAACATTCACACGAGTTCACACGTGAGAAGCCAAACCGAGATACAATCAGCACATGAAGTTGTCGTCTCCAAAATTATCATCAATATACAAGAATGAAGAATGTTCATCTTCAGCGGTGCTGCTGCACACACACACACCCAACGAATCTCAACCAGATGGTGGCTATGGCTTCTCCCTTCTCTCTCCCTCTCTCTCTTAGTCTTGCTTCTCTCTCTGACTTGGCTCGCTCTGCCTCACTCTTTCTCTAACCTAGATCGTCACCCTGGATACACCCACTAAGGCACTTTTTCAGGTGCGAAGTGCCTTAGTTGCCTTAACGCACAAGTACCAGCAGCGCTTCCGCATACTGCAAACTGAAGGAGTGATGATCCGCTGCACTGTAGCAGCTTGACTTGCCTTGGCCAGCTTCAGACCGGTACCAGTTGGCCGCGACCTGTCGGCTGCAAACATTTTATCGGTCCGGTACCCTCCGGACTTTCCTGGGACTTGCTGCAAAATTGGACTTGGGACTGTTGGACTGGACTGGACTTCTCTGGACTTTTCTTGTCAGGTACCCGACGGACTTCTACCAACCTACGACTTTTCGGTACCGACACCTACCGACCTACGACATTTCACCTTACGGACCCTTCGGCCTATCCTACCGGGACAACCTGGGACTGAGACACTTCGAACTCCGGGACCAGGACTGGGGTGTCTGCAGCATGAATCCTTTAACATTGTATAATGCCCAAATAATGGCATGTTTAAAATTAAAAAATAAAAATAAAAATAATAATAGTAATAATAATAATTAAGGCATATGTGTTTTCTCTGTTTGTCTGACTGCATAAATGTGCTGTGGTATGGTTCTGTGAGCCTATAAAAACAATTGAGAGAGAGCTACCTACATGCCGTATGTGTGAAATTGAAGGGGAAGAAAGGCCCTATCCCACTTATTGTGGAGAACTGAAACCCAGACCATCGTCTTTCTTCCTTTCACAAAAGAAAAAAACAGGGAGCCAACATACCTTCACAATGGAAATAGCAGCAGAGATCGGGTCTCGTATCCCTAGGACACTCCAACAAAGAGAATTATCTGAGCCAGCAGGAATAATGCCAATTGGAACTTCCATGGCTTGCGCAGAATCTTTACGAGAGAATAGTCCATTCAAAACCTGCTCTGCATAGCAAACAACGAAACCCCTCAGAAACTTCCAGTAGCTGTTCTATTAATTAGGTCGCCTTCCATATGCCAGGCTATTTCGAGATCACAAGGACACTTGCCGTGCACTGCTTCTGACAGCTCATCCACACCCATCAGTGTTCACAGACAGATGTGAGGTCTTAGACAGACTTGAAGTACGAACAGGTAGTCCCAAGGTGAGATAGAACAGTCACAAACTCCCAGGTATCACCAGCCGACCTGTCACAATAGCACTAGCATACAACATATAATAGAGTGTTCCTCTACTTCAGGAAGGGCCAGAAGACGAACTTTTAGTAGGAATAGCTAGTTCCAAGGTGGGATTGAACACTCCCGCACTCCCAGGTATCACCAGCCGACCTGCAGGTAGATCAAAGGAGGGGGGAGGGGGGAACAAAACACCTCCGAGATGTAGCAATGACACCCCCACAATGACTATAGCATTCAATCTACAGTAGCACATTCCTCCACTGCATTGCTGATCCAACATGTGGGCATGCATCCGGACACATGGATAGGACAATAAATCTGGGCCAGTAAGACATCCTCAACAGGATATGGTTTGCTGAACAGGGTTAAGCACCTCATCAGCCAGTGCTTAGAATGAGATTTTGTTTCACTTCTGGAGCAACAGCCACGCTTCAACTTAATACAAAGTTGAGATATTGCAAGACAACTGCTTTCATAAAAGGACAAGGTTATCTGTTGCAGCTCCCCACACAATAAAATGAAGGAAATAGTGTTAAAGGAGGCCACGAGTACCTGTTGCGGCTTCGCTTGCAAAAAAATGAAGGGCAAAAAGCAAAAACGTGCAAGGGGGGATTCTGTTTTGGGGGGGTGCAGGGGTGGGGGGGATTTGGCTTCACCTGTTTACTCCTATTGACTCAGTCGATGCATTGTGGTGGAGGTGCGAGGATATGGGTCCTCGGCAGGCCTAAGGGGCCCCTTGCAGCATATGTGCCCGCCCTAAGTGAAGGCGGGCGTAACAAATCACGAGAGGCCCTTGGTTGTCAATTTCGCATTTGGGGGTCCAGGCAGTTTCGTTGCAGCATTTGGTTGAAGGGAAACACAGGCCGAGCAGCGTGGAAATTCCCAGGCCTTCTAGGCCTTTCCAAAAGCTCAGGCCCTGGGCCAGATTCGCAGCCTCATACACAGACAGTTGGGAGGCCCAACCGAATGAGGCCCAGTAGCTGCACCAGAGGCGCAGCATCCTGGGGCCTACCGGAAGCTTCTGGGCCCAGGCCAGTCTAGCCAGGCTGCCGAACGAGGCAGGCTCTTTCCATATAGGAAAGAGCTTGCTGCCTGGCCAGGGCATTCGGGCACTTGCTGGCTGGCGGCAGCGCTGCTGGAGCAATAGCTCGTGTGCTGGCTGCTGGCATTGGAGCAAGAGGCTGCGCACGTGCGGTCGTTTGGTAAAGAAGGGCACTGCTGAGGGCAGCACCATAGCCCAGCCTCGCAGGGGTGGTCTTTGGGTGTACAACAAAGGGAGACGTGGGAGAGAGTCAAGGGGGAGAGAGAAGGATGATGATGATGATATGAGGGCACATACCTGGTATTGGCGATGGTTCTGCATGGGCGACATCTTCAAGTACTTCAAGTGCTGCTGACGTCAACAGTTGCATTGTCAATTAGTAGGCTAGTCGTAGCTGTGTAGGGAGTAGGCTGGGCGCCGAGCACCAGATAGGGAGATAGAGACTGGATACATATGTTGGTGGTGGCAAGAGCAAGCTCTCATTGACATTGACTTTCAGCGCTACGATTCTCCATTGGTGTTATATTGGTGCAGTTCTGCTTCCTGAACACTGTGTTACGATTTGACTTTCAATGTGATTGTGTAATTTGAATATTGTCATCTCGCTTCTTGCAAGGAAGATGAGCATTAGCGAACTTCAGCAATCAAACAGCATCATACATATGAGCCCAGATAGTCTTGACCTCGAACCACAGCAGACTGGCATCACAAGATACACCGAATAAGAACACACCAAGAGTTCAAAATTGACAATGCTGAAGAAGTCCCATCACCATCAACTGCGAACCAGAGTTGATATCCTACTGGCGCTCGACGCCCAGACTACAGGTGGCAGATCCTATCTAACCTATACTATGAAGCAGAATGATGACATCAACAGCGTTCCCGAAGAACGAGCATATGGCGACCAATGTCGCACGCTTCAGCACCAGGTATGTCTCTCGTAACACTCACAACCCCGATCCACACCGCACAGATGCCACTAGCACCCCAAGGACCACCCTGCGCTTCACCTAGCATACAGCAGCGCAG